ATAACAAGGATTTATTGCTCAATCTCAACAGTGTTTCAAATTCTGACATTTTCACTATATACCTCAAACAGTAAGAGCTAGTTTTCTAATTAAACCTTTCTTCTTCCAGTAAATTTATCAAACAAGAGACAGCTGTGCATGGAGTGATTCTGTTTCCCACACTGGCTGCTGCTGATGATTTTTCGAAAAGTGTTTATGGTGGTATGGGCTCTGACTCCAAGTGGCCAAAACACTTGGAAAAAAGACACAAACAAGCAACAGAACAAGGAAGCTAAGAAATAATTGATTTGTTTTCTAGCTGCCCATCTGAAAGGTTAAAAGGTCACCAAATAATTGAGAACTGACAAAGGGTAATTTCATCTTGAGATTATGATATTCAGAGCTAATCCTTACAGAGGGCCTACTATGTGCCAGGCATGTGCATACTGTGTTTTATTGACTCATTACAACAGTGGCTGTGAAGGAGATGCTGTTGTTAGCCAATTTCACAGGCGAAGAAACATCAGCTGAGAGAGTTAAAAATGCTGCCCAGAGTTACAGATAGTGAATGAGAAACTGTTCTCATAACCACTATACTACGTTCTACAGGTGAGAATTTGACCACAGTCAAGAAGCTAGTTAAAGGGCAGTGCTGTGTCTGAAATCTTTCTCAAGATGGGCCAAGTTGGCCTGATGGCAAATGGGAAATCCTGTGGAATCATCTCAGCACAAATATTGCTTTGAGAGAAATTCATCTATTTCCTCAGGAAACATGGCTTCCGGAAGCGAAATCTGCTCTCAAAAAGAACGGAGTCAAAGGGCATATTTATTAAAAATGTAGGAAGGATATTATGTCCAAACGATTTGTTTCATTTCGACCATGGAACAATAGTGTCTGAGAACACTGATGCTTGAGAACTTAAAAGGCAAACACACACTCTGGCCAATTTATTTCTTGGTCAGTGCATGTGGTGATCAAAGGCCTTTCTTCAAGGAATTTGTGGCACATGGAAAATTCTTGTGATGTGTTGGGGCTTGACAGGGTCAGAAAGCACAGCATATTCTTAATCTTGGAAATTTGGAATCTTAAGCATGTCTCTATTAATTAAACATGCTAGGGACTATGGGGTTTGAAAGGCGAGGAAATCTACCATGGCTACAACTGCCCCTGCCCGAAAGCACAGATTAGGCTAATCGCAGGCCTGGCCAATATATCCCGAGGTTTTCTAACAGCAAGAATGGGTAAGAATCACACACAAAAGGATCTTGAGGAAATCCTTGTCTAGAAAGGTGGGAACAATATAATCAGATGTATTGTGGAGGAATGACAGCAGCAAAAGGATTCTAGAAGCTTTAATAATAGAATTTCAGTGGTGTTTTCTTCCACAAACATCCGAGAGAGATATTTAAAATGAATGAACAGTTCTCAAGGATCAGGCCTGGAAAGTGTGACAGGAAGGTCCATTTCTGAGTCACACCTATGACTGTTTACTTCTTGGACTGTAGAATGGGTGGTTCGGGGAAGCGGGATGGCATTTGGTTATGGGATGCATCAAATCCGTCCTCTGATGTGTCTGAAGCAAGGTAACCGGACAGCAGTCTTTTTTCCCTTAAGCTTTCCTGACTGGGGTGGTGCATTTGGCCTGGAGATATTCAGGTGGTGGTCGTGGTGATCACAGCATCTATCATTTCTACAACTTCCAACATTGCAGCCATGGTGTGAAACACATTACTTGATTTCTTTTCGCCCTTACGCTAATCTTGAGATAAATAATGATCATTTCCACGTCACAGAGGAAGAAACTGAGTATTAAGAAAGGGAAAGCAACTTTGCCAAGGTCCCAGCTGAAAAGGCAGAGGCACACTGGGCCCTGGATGACTCTGACCACAGGTCTGTGCCCTTGGCCCCTCTGTTGCATTTTAAGGGGTCGGCAATGCAGATATGGTTTGGGGCATTCAAAATGGTTGGCGCAGAGCTAGCTGGCGTCTAGATGGTATAGACTTTCCTGGTTCGGAGACATATTGTCCTCATTATTTGCCTGGCACCCCCACCCCCACCATCCTATTCTACATTTAAAAGACAAAGATAAAAGCAAATACATGGAAATAAAACAGAGCTTCATGGGAAGGATGAAACAAGAGAGTAAAAAAATAGGCAGGCTTTCAACCAAAACAAATATAAAACTCCTCTGTCCTATTTGGAAATCATAGGAAGCAATAAGACAAGAGCCCAGAGACAAGGAGGCAAGGAGGGTTCCCCCAGGTGGTGTCTCTGGAGAGAGCCTCAGCCGGAAGACCTAGGCCTCAGCAGTGGCGGGGATGCAGATACTGTAATCTTCCTTCTCCTGGGGAGCCTTCACGCTCTTCCTGACCTGTCAGCAAGCCGGAGGGGCCACTGCAGTCTTACTGCTCTCTGGCCTCCAGGGATCCGCTCACCACCACTGAAGATCCTCCTTCTCTGATTTGAAAAGGATGTTTTGCAATGTAAAGGCTACCAGGCTTGAAGAGGGCTCTCAGCTTTGATGTTTCTCTGTTTACTCTTGTTGGAACTGAAGGGGTATTTGTTTGTAGCTCAAATCATGACTGAAGCCCTTGTGCATTCGACAAGTCCCATAGAGTTCTCACCCTGTCAGTTCAATCCCAAACAACAGGACAACTGAAACATTTTTCATTTGACCTCCCCATCTCTCAGATGCGTCATTATTCACTAAATTATTCTATCTGGACTTTCTAGAGATAGGCCTGTTTTCATTGCTTAGATGCACGGGGGGGGGGGGGGGAGAAAGAAACGAAAAGAAATCATATCAAATTTGCAAAGCATGTATTATCTATCGATCCAGACTCTGTGCCTTTTATAAAAAATCTCTACTAAATTCTATTATATAAAATCCCTAGACTGTACCACAGGACTTGCCACACAGGAGGCTCTCAATAAATGTCTACTGACCGATTTAATTAGAGTCTCACCACAACTCTAGGATGCTTTCTGTCCCCCTTTTACAATCAGGCAATTGAGACTCCAAGATCTTAAGCAACTTGCTTAAATTCACAGGATTAATAAGAGGCAAACTGCGGATGTGAACCTAAGGACACATGACTCTGAAGTCTATGCTATTTTCCAGAAGCAACATGAAAAGGAGGGCAAAATATTGGGTTTGTCGGGAAAGTCATGATGCATTTTTGCAATGAAAAACATAGAAAAAATATGTCATGACTTTTCTGACAGCCCAATAAATAGATAATCCTAATCCTGTCTAGAGATGCTGATACTACCCAAAGAAGGTTCAGAGGGCTGTAAGAGACATTGTTAAAACAAAAATGACTTCAACATAAAGACCGTCCTTCCTGACTTCACTCACTTCCATATTATCCTGCATTTGTATAGCCATTTGTGACACAGACTCATCTTCAAAATCTGTGTCCTCCCTACTTCCTGGGGACACAGCTGGACTGCATTTACCAGCCTCCCTTGCAGTGAGACATGGCCATGTGACTGAGTTCTGACCAATGGCATGAAGGAAAGCATTGGGCACAACTTCCAGGCCTGGCCCATAAAGCAACTCCATATATCCTTTCATTTTCTTTTCTCCCTTCTGCTGTTGAATGGACAAAATTCTGATGTAACTACAGGGGAATGAGAATATAAGAAGGAAGGAGACTGAGTCCCCAAGTGATCACAGGGAAAGTTACCCACCAACCAAGAACATGTGACATGGGAGTTAACAAGAGTCAGAAAATTCTTTTGCATGAAGTCACTGAGATTTGGGGGTTAACCTTGTTGCAGCAGAGAATACTGTTTTACTAATATGTTCTTTATTACTCCCTTTATGATTTCAAATACCTTTCTTATTTATTACATCATTAAATCCTTTACAAATGAAATCAGAGTCAATGGAAGCTTAAGGAGTGAGAGGTGTGAAGAATCATTGAGAACAACCAAAATATCTGTGCAGTGCATTGCTGCATGGCCAATAAGCGCAGTCATTAAGTTCATGGGCTTAATGCTTGCACCTGTAATTTCAGGGTGTCGGAACAGATGGTCTCTAAGGTTCCTTCTAATTCTAAACCTCTATTAGTCTTTTTAGATCTTTACAAATATGTGTTGATGTGTTCAGACACTGTGATCTCTTGACTCTGAGCTCCTCAAAGGGAAGAACTCTTTTTTAGTTGTGTGTATATGCCTAGCATCCAATATATTAGATGCTCTAATGTTAAATTTAATTAGAATTTCTGTTGAAAAAAAACTCAAAGAATTTACTAATGTTCTGATTTATGCTGATGATTTCTTGATCTAATTTGGTGCACAGTATCAAAGGATTGAAATTCTCATTAATGCTTTCATTATGCATTACGAAGTATGAGGCTATTCTGTATTCATTTACATAGACATAATCTTTGAAGAATGATTTTGTAATAGTACTGAAAGACTTTTTTTGATTAAAGGTAGTGCCAGCAGTAATTGATATTTTAATGGCTTCCTGTATAGCTCCATTTAGCTAAATATTATAGGCATGTATTCCTACTTAGAGTTGAGAAAGTTAAGAGTACAGAATATTCAGAGTTTTTCTCATTCAAATGGTGTTTAACTTGAGGTCCATAAAAGTAATATTGGGGAAAACTATAAGTAATTTTAAAACTTTGAAAAAGCCCAAAGGAAATTATACAATGTTATGAAGCAGCATGTGACACATTCATGAAAAATCCTATGCCTTCTGATTTTTGAAAAAATATAAAGCAATTTTTCTATGTATCTGTGTAGTGTGGGGATACTGGTCAGTTCATCGTGCTCATCAAAAATGTCAGGTTATATATGTTTTTGATTACTAAAACTAGGCAATGAATTCTATTAATGAATGCAGTTTGGCGGGTAAAATGTTTGAAAGCACAGGGTTCAAGGGAGGTGGGGGGGATAACAAGAGGGTCTTGGCAGAAAAACGGGAGCCACAATTCGCTACAATATGAGTAGAATGAAATCTAATGATGGGAAACCAGTGGTTTAAAAAAATTTTTTTTATTGGCAGCTGCAAGGGGAGCTGATGGTCCAAACACGCAACTGTCTGCTGTGGGCAAGACACTTCACCACACTGGCCTTTGCCTGCTGATGTGTGAAATGTGAGGCTTGGAGAAAATGCCTCTCAGCTCAGCATCAGCACCATCAGCACCAAAACAGCAACGACTCTGCACTCTGCCGGCTCGGGGAGTTAGACTTCCACTCTAGTATCCCTTCTACATCACAGCCAAATTCTAGAGTGAGGATGTCATTACGGCCAAGAATGGAAAGAAAAACCAAGATGGATCAAACAGGAGCCTGGGACTTTTCAGCTGGGGGTGGGAGCAGGTGGTGGTGGCAGAGAAAAATAACTCTTGGCTCATTGCAAACAAAATGACACCACGTACTCATTAGGGACTACATTTTAGTTGGGAAAATGGTTTTCAATTCTTTTAAAGGATCTTGCACCTGCATATGTGCAGCTGCTGTGGACGTCCATGACATCTAGGGGAATAGAGAGGAAGATACATCCTGGCGTAACAGAACCTGGGTAGGTGAAGGGTGTTATTTGTGACTATTAGCAGAAGTTGAGAAGAGATGTGTTAGGCAATTCTGGGTTACAGCAGGCTTGAAGGAGGTAGAGATGAGCTCATCAGAAGGGTGATGGTGTGATAATGGTGGTTGATGACAGCAGAGGTAATGATGATGGTGGTGTGATGGTGGTGAAGGTGGTGACAACTGAGGTGGGGTGGGGGCAGGAACTAGGGTTAGGTGGTTAGGAGAAGAACATTGTAAGGCTTGACTTCTGGGAAGAACATAGGGGTTGTTGGTAAAGAAATAATTTTGTTCCCCACTCTTGTGGTCCCATAGTCCACTCTATAAAGCCTTGTCCTTTTGACATTTCAACTTCCTGATCGCCTGGCTGCAGCTCAAATTTGGAAAGTGAAGCTGTTCTACAAGCAATTGTCTTAGAGGCCCCAGGAGTTCTGAGAGAAGATTTTTCACTAATCTGGCCAAATTTGGTACGATTTCATTAATTTGGTGTTTGTTCAGAACATTTCATACTTTTCAGTAGGAAGTTTCTCTCCCAGGAAAAATTCAGGAAGTTAAAGAGGTGAGGGATGAGAGAGAGACAGAGGCAATCAGAGTACAGGAGGGCCAATTTTTCTTCAGGTAGACTGACTATATGGTAAGGTTCACATCCTTTACTCATTCATCTCATATACAGGGTCACTGTTCCTTCTGTTTTCTGGGGGAAAAGAAGTATTTGCTTTTGTGTGTGTGTGTGTGTGTGTGTGTGTGTGTGTGTGTGTGTGTGTGTGTGTTTTAAAGGTTATATGTTAGCTGCACCAAGATTCCCTTTTTTGTGGTTTTCTTGATTCCCCCCTTATTATGGTAGAAACTGGAGAAAATTTTAAACTGAGGTGCTCCTGATTCTTCCCAAGACTGGACACCATGGAGGGACTTTCACTCTCTTCTACCAATTTGTATGTGATAGGAGGAAAAAATGTAAAGTTATAAGCATTTATGGTTTTCTCTTCCTTTGCTTTCTAAGGTGTGTTCCTTAGGAAGATCTGTTTATTTTGTTGAGTGGGGCCTTGAAGAGGGATGCAAATAGGACAGGTGGAGAGAAGGGGCTGTAATCTTTAAGGAAATGAGCAGGTGGAGTTCGGGGTGGGAGCAGGGAGGAGAAGAGGGGAGGAGGAGCCTGACTGGAGGTGGGAGGGGAGCTTGTGCACAGCAGCAACAGACAAGGATTTTTAGTCTTTGGAGAGAGAAGAAGAGGACAGGAAACGGTTTTGGCAGGTACCCTGAGGAGTCATCTGTGGGAGAGATGTCTGAGGAGGAGTTTAAAGATTTTCAGGGAGATGTGTGTAGCAACCTCCCTTCTGCCCGCAAGGCATCTTGGGGAAGACTTCCCAGTCTGCTTGCAGTGAGATTTTTGTTTCTTTTAGAAGTGACACCATGCTGAGAAGGGGGGGGGGGTAAAAGGGCCCCCCATTGCTTCACGTGGTTGAATACCCAAGAAATAAAATGAAAGATCCTTTTCATAATTGGCTTCACCAACATAGAGCTCGTTTTTGGGCAAGTTGGTAGTTTTCTTTCTCCAAAACAATTTGTGGCAACATTTGTCCTGTGCATGGACGGCTCTATAGAATCCAAAGCCACATTTTATTTTTAGCCACAACTGGGGAAACAGGAATTGGGAAGGAAGTGAAACAAGCCTCCGATGCCCTTTCAGAATAATCACGCCAGGAGCGTATAAATCAGTATAAGGCTTCTCAGCTCCTAGGTCAACGGGGGGAAAGGAAGCAGAGTACCCTAACTTTGTGCAGGGGTAACCAGAACAAAGACCTGGGGTTTGACTGTCCTGACTTCGGGAGGAGGGAAGGAAGGACTCCCAGCACTGTCAGGTTTTGCCCTCCCTGACCCCCAACGCTAGCCCTAGGGCACTTTGGGTGGATGGTTGGTGATTAAAGGGTAAATATGAGCAGGTGTTTGTTGAGATCTTTGACTTTAACCAGTCATTCTTGTATTTCATTAAAAAATAACTACATGTTGAACTAGAAGTGTTAACTCATCATAAAGAACCCACTGAACTCTGTCACTCCGTACTTACAAGAACACATTTCTAAGCTTGACAACACAGATATAAATCATGAAACGGCACCGCAGTAGAGCTCATTATATATAAACTGAAAACTTTTGTATGTCAAAAAATGCCACATCATCATGTTTACATCTTATTAGTAAGTGGTACAAAGTAAAAATAATGTAGGTGAGATAGAGGGAAAGAGTTAAGCAAATGTGATAAAATGTTAACATTTGAGGACTCTGGGTAAAGGGTAGCTGGGAATTCTTTGAACTAGTCTTGCAGCTTTTCTCTTAGTATGGAAATTATTTTAAAAGAAGAAAAATTTTAAAGGTTAAATATTGCCAAAAACAAAAATAAGAGACATTGGAAAAATATTTGTAACATTTATGACAGACAATGAATTAATTTCTTAATATATAAATCATAAGAAAAAGACAAATGACACAATAGAAAAGTTAAAAGAACAGGTGAGTTATAAAAAAAGACCTTTACGTGTCCAATCAATGTGTGTGTGTGTGTGTGTGTGTGTGTGTGTGTGTGTGTGTGTAGTCAAATTCATTATCTATCAGTAAGAAAAATGTAAGTTTTGAAAAGCTGTGATAAAATTTTGCCAAATAAATAGCCTCTTCAAAAATAAACTACCAAAACAATCCAAAGTTGGAGTTAGACGATTCAATGGCCATAGCACTGCTGATAGGTATCTCAATTGGTCCAATAATCTGGTTACAATTTGGAATCAGGAAAGGCTTTTAAAGATGTTCGGTCCTTCTGACCTAGCATTTTCTTTTACTTAGTAGAATTTTATCCTGAGGAAATAACCAGAGGTCCAAAATTATGTAAATGCAGATCATTATAACAGTATTTAAATAACATTATATTATAGGCCTCTCAACCAGGGTCTGTTAACATGGTATGATGGATTACTCAGTAGAACAAAATCCTATTTAAGAAGACCATTTATTGTCAATGGGGAACGTTAAGAATATGTACACTGTTAACATTAGTTATCTTTGAGTGGTATCATTATTTTGCTTTTTAGAACTTTCGATCCCGTGAAAAGACATTCTACTTAGGTTGTAGGATGTAAGCACAACTGTGATTCTATTTCTGAAGGGAAGACAGGCCATTGAGGAGCAGTTGAAAAGCCTAACAAACACCTGCAGAGCCTCTTTTGAAAAAACGACATGGGCTTTGCAATAAAACACTGAGTTTTCCCAACTTAATTATTTGGTTTGATTCTGAAAAACCTGTACATTAGGATAGTCTCAAAACACAAACTACATCCCTCTAGGGTGCCCTTTTTCTTTATACCCAACCGTCAATGTACTCATGTCTTTTTAGGAAAATGTGATTTATAAATCTTCAAATTTTAAGTATGGATAATCTAATCTTAAAAGTGGAAGGGGAACAGAGATGAACTCGTCTCACTTTCTCATTGATAAGAAATCCAAGATCTAGAGAGATTGGGTAACTTGCTTAGTTACTATCCTTAATATTTAATAAATGGCTCCTACAAATAATGAGAACAATATAAATTCCACAAAAGAGAAGCGGACAATAAATGTGAACAAATGAGTCGAAGAAAGGCAAGTGGGCAATAAATATGTAAAAATATTCAACCTCAGGAATAATGGGAAATATTAAAAAAAAAAAGAAGAAAAAAGGCCTACACAATTCTTTATTTTGCTTAACAAATGACCCCAACCCAAACAAGCAAACACTCTGACATCAAACAGCGAAAACACTGGGGCAACAATAGAGAAAGCTCCTGTTATATTCTTGCAAACATCCCTCCCCTGGTACCTGGGACGCACTCAATAATAATGCCTCGAGAAAAAAAAAGACAAATATCACAACAGGACTAACTTTATGTCATATATTAATTTCACAAAGCCATATTCAATGCCAACATATAGATCTTTGTTTCTGGCTCCTCAGGGACATTTTAGAGGAGTCTGAGCTCTTAGTTTCCTTTTCAACCAAGGCCAAGAGCCTCTAACTTTGCTATTTAACATTTTAGGTATTCATATCTTAGAACAAACTCCTTTATGCTGTGAATCATGATCTTATGCAAAGTAGAGCTCATTATAATGCCATAAATGTTAGCAGAATTCCCCTCCGATTACTTAGGAAGCAGCACTTAATTCCAGACTAATAAAATATCATTTTAAGGCACTTTCTTACTTTTCTCTTTAAGAATCAGTATTTTTCAATGAGTGATTTCATACAGTCCTAATTTCAAATTAGGTGAAATAAAGCAACGAGAAAATTTTGGCACGATCTGACTCCATTGTAGCTAATGTTTAAATAACTCCCTTCCCCCCCAAAACCCCCAATTTTCCACTTGAGTTAATGTGAAATATATAACTTTAATAAGCATTGTAGCCAAAAGAGCCTATATACCAATAAGGTGGTTCTTTTATTTGAAAATTCTGGTTTGCTTAATTTTAGGAAAATAGATTTAATGTTCACTTTAAAAAACTGGTTTTCTTTTCATAAAGGTTAATTGAGTTCCTGTATTGCATAACAATAGTATTACCTGCTATGATTTTCAAAGAAGAAAATATGCATGTTTTCCCTTTAAATCATGCTCCTAAAAGAGGGCACTTAGTTTCAGTGTCTTATAACTTTATTATGGTCTCCTTTTAGGTTTCTTCAAGTAAACACGTAGCCCAAGACCATAGCAAAAGAGCGAGGAAAAAAAATACTGTTTTATTTCATCACAAACAAGGGAGTCTGAAGTGACGATTTTCTCAGCTGAGCCCATTAACATATTACTGAGCATATGTGTGTATGGAGTAGATTTCTTTTGAAAATAGAACTGTTAGTTTCTATGCTATGAAGCAAATGCTGCAAAGAAAAGTTCCCTCCTCCACTGGGAGGCAGTTGGAGCTCCAGCTCAGCTTGCAATAAAAGCACGTAGCTTCCACAAGTTAGGCTGAAAGTTGGCTTAGTCCAGAATTATTCTGGAGTGAGCCCAGATTTCCAGCTCAGGCCTGGAGATGAGCTGACGTGATGTTGGAGGTTCTGCTCAACAGTAAGATAGTCTGGACTATCCTGGACTCTAGAATAGGGGTCAACAAACCATAGTCCCTGGGCCAAAGCTGGCTTGCTACCTGTTTTGTAAATAAAGTTTTATTAAAACACAGCCAAGACTATTTGCTTATATACAGTCCATGTCTTTTCATGCCACAATGGCAGAATTGAGTAGTATGTAAAGCCAGACATATTTACTATCTGGCCCTTTACAAAAAAAAAAAAATTGCTGACCCCTGCTCTATAAGAACCTTTGATGGGTGGTCACCACAACACTCTATGTAGAACCAACCTTAAAGCAAGTAAAAACCATTGTATCACCCACTTTTATGCCAAGTTTTACCATTTTTATATGTCTCAGGTGGGTATGTTCTTTGAGACTCTATCTTTGCAGGCTTTTTCAGGGGGGCAAATTACCATTGAATAGAGAGCCATCACTGTGTAGCACTTGATCCCACTGTGTCCTTTATCAGAGGGGGACACTTTCCTTAGGTTTTGCAGCACTGCTGTCTGACACCTGTGTGCTCACACATACCTGTGGCTGCAAAGACTTATGCCATCACTCCTGGTTGAGATTGCCACTCATAGCAGCATAAACATGGAGGCTTAGCTAAGCTTGATCTATATAAACTTTCAACTGAATGAACAGGTTTCTGACATAGAAGTAGTGAGATTTAAGTGGGGTAGAATATTGGCCAGGTTGGCAGTGGAATAGAAATGGGAGTGAGTATGTTTTGGGGCCTGTGAATAAGAAATAAGACGAGACAATGAGATGTGATTCTGAGACCCTCCCTCCTCACGGGTGTCAATCATTCTGGTTCACCCAGGCACGCTGTCTTTTTGTTGTACCAGGAGCTCAAGTGTAGATGGGTAGAGAGGCAGAGCAGTGGTGCTGGGAGATGTAATGTTATGGTCATTATATAAGGCTTGGAAACTTCCAGAAGGCAACCTTCAGTGGCTTCAATTTCTCAGGTTTACAGCGGAATGGATTCTGGGAGGAATTGTCCTGCATGTTTGCTTTGTCTCTGGGTGGAGAGGTAACATGAACAGGTGATCAAAGTTCAGGGTGTACCCATGACACTCAGAAGTCTATCGGTATCTTCCCTGCTGCCACAGTAACCAAAAGGACAGTCATGGGCTTGGAGCTAGGCTGGAAGGCGGATCACAGAGATTGTAAACTGACAGAACACGGGTTGATTCCAGTCAGACATTTTGACTGGTGCATGAGTTTTTGATATTTTTATACATTAATTGCTTACATGTACAAATGGGTATATTATATTTTATTTAAGACCTGGATTTCCAGCTTCTTTTGGAAATTTGTAATCTCTGGACAGACTGGGCTTCATCTCTGCTTGTCAGTGAATGCCTAGAGTGGAGGAACGGCTTCTCTTCAGAGAGGACCTGGGTTCTCCAGTTTCATTGGTACACCCAGTCTATTTCAGGCATTGGTGTATCTGTCTGGCGCCTGGAGCCTCTGAGTTTGCAACCTCTGCTCTACGTGTTGACTAAGAATTCGTGGTAGTGCAACCTCATGTTCCTCAGGGTCATTCTGTTTCTCCTTTGTCCCTTGCAAAGAGTTTCTAGCTTACTTTACCTTATGTGATCAAATCATATTCCATTCTGACTCTACTGCTGAGGGCAATAAACAGCCCACTATGGTTTGTAAGTGTGAAGAGCCATTTATTATATTGATCTGAACTAATTAAAGAGTGAACATATTTAGGGTGCGAGGATGATCTTAGGATGGCTAAAAACTAGCATTTACTGTGAATTATCATTTATTCCCTGTCATGTTTGCAGGGATGACACATCTCATGTTTTCTGAAGAAAACGAAAGCACATTTGTAGAGACATATTCACAAGATGTATTTGCATTTAATAACACTTGCTGGTTTGGACATAATTGGTGCTAAGACTCTCAGGATGGTCTTTTAGAAATCCTATATTTCTCTATAAGTGGAACAACAATGGAGACACACATAGAAAATGTAAAAAGTATAGATACCTGTCATACTGTTGGGAGTCATAGGTTAGTAATCATTCTGGACCCTTTTTTTCACTGACATCTCCTACAAAGAAAAAGACAAGAAAAAAACACCACAGGTTACAACCTGCATTTTTCACAATGTTTTTGTTCCAAACAATATCACATGTATTAATGAGCATGGGGCGATATTTTACTTCCAAGTCAGAACTGGGGAAATTGAACTGGGGAGCTATGTTAATGGAGGGTTGGCAACCAGACCTCTGTCCAGGCAGGGTGGGTCCCAGGTCTGCATGTCATTCATTAAAACAGGTCCTGTTGCTCCCTGGGCAGAGAAGTCTTCAGCTAGATCCAGGGAGGAAGGGTCTCCATACCGGACCCTTCAAACTGACATCCAATTTGGTCCCCAAGGCCAAGTGCTACTGAACTGGAGAATATTCCTTTCATATGAGTCATTAATTTATTGGGTTGGTCAGTCGAGAGGCCCTGATTGAGGACCTACTCCGTTCCAGCCCTGCCCCCAGGCTCTGTCCTGAGACAACTCTCTGGCCTCTCCACAAGGAGCTTCCAATCTAACAGGAGAGAATCACACTAAAAAAAAGCAAAAGCAAAAATGTATACAGGTTTCCCTTTAAGTGTCTCTTCAGAACAGAATGGGACAAAGGAAGGAGAGGTCATGTCTACCTCGGTCTATCTGGAAAGGCTTCTCAGTGGAGGTGACCCCGGACCCAAAGGCTTTTCTTGTCAACAGGCCTCTCTCCGCATCATGATTTAATGTTTTATTCTCATGACTGTGCTCCTGAGGCACATGGGCTACTCGGTGAGAAACAAGCCTTCTGTAGAAGAACTGGGCAACTCATATAAATCAAGCAGGCTTTAAGCACAGGGGAGCCATATGATCCAATTTGAGTTTTTAAAGCTTCGCAGTGGCTGCTGAGTGAAAGCAGGCCAGTCAGGGGGCTGCGGCGGGTCTGAGGAAGAGATGAAGGTGACTAGAACTCCACCACTGGTGGCAGCGGAGGTGGTGAGAGGGCGAGGGACTCAAGTGACATTTAGGAGGTAGGAAGACAGTGATGAATGTGATATGAGCATTTAATACTGGGATAAACACCAGGGATGCAAATAGGTTAAGACCAGAGGCTCTCAGCCCTGGAAGGATTTACAACCCATTTTACAAGCTGGCTGGGAAGGCAGAGCCTCTTGGCAAGGAGCAGCTAAAAATACAAGCCATAGATTCCAGGGAGCCAAGGGGGCGGGGCTGACAAACACTCAAGGCTGAGCCTTCCTCCGGGATGAAAGGTGAGGCTCCTGGAACAACAAAAGAGCAAAAGGGACAGCAGCTTGGCACAGAGTATATGATCTGGGGTGGGGAAGAGGCAGGAAGTGGCCAAGAATGAAGCTGCAAATGTAGGTGGGGGCCAGGTGGTGAGGGGTCTTGAAAGGTTTGCTATAAAATTTGGACTTGCTCCTGTGGGCAATGGGGAGCTATGGAAAGTCTTTAAGGGCATGACCCTACTTGAGAAGGATAACTCTGCCACAGTGTGGAGGAGGTCTCCTCAGGAAGCTAACGCTTTGGTGGCACCTCTGCATGGAATCCTTACTGTTTTCCTGTCTTAGTGTTCAAGGTCACAAAGCTAGACGAGGCCCACAGAGGACACCCCTAACTCCATCTTGTAAAGCTCCAGTGCGCTTGCTTTGACTGCATGCCCTTCGTCCCCTTGTGTTTCCTTTTCCCCCAATAGAAACTACGACATTGAAGGCACAACTGTAAAATTTACCCCTTGAAAAATCTTTCCATATGGACCTAGCGAGTCATTGCTTATACAACCTGTATATAATTAAAATGAAACACCGCATCCCCCTCACGTCTCTTCATTTAGCTTTTCCGAAGAAGGCGTTTGTGGTCTTTTTAAGGCCACCTTCCTCAGTTTGCTTCTCCTTGGCTCTCTCAGGGGAAAGGGTACCAGAGCATCATGTGGCCTGATGTGCCAGAACAGCGATATATACAGGGTTTATCTGTTAACACTTCAGCACCTGCTTCATGGGCAGCCTAAGAAAGCCATGTTGGGGGGTGGGGTGCAGTGGGGGTAACTTTCATAGGAAAATCTCTTGGTTTAGTTTAAAGGGTCAGATACTCAAGTGTTAGGCTATTATAGACTCTAAGCTGAGACCATGAACACTGGGAAGGCTTTCAGAGGAGGACAGACCCACCCTCTTTCCTGGCATTGAGCAAACATGGACTCTCTACACTTCTAAATAGGATTCAGAAGTCATGGTGAGTGGGGAGCAGAGCTTGGGGATGTGTCTTGAAATTATATTTACACAGCAAGCAACTGTTTTGACAAAGCTTCTTGGGTATTGTGGGGCACTAGGCACTGGTGGAGTTTATGGCCCCATCCTGTCCCCACTTTGGCCTTGCCACTGCTCTGTGGCATCTGGAAACACAGCTGGGTGAAGGCAAATGACTGTCCTCTCAGAGTGGGCTGCACCCCACGCCATGAGGGCAGTGGTGCTGTGGATCTTTATTTGGTGCCTCTTGACTCTGCTGTGAAAAGCTCTCATCTTCCTCTGGGAGTTTTCCTCCTATCCTCTTCCCCTCGAGGGAAGATCCCATTTACATCAAACCTTTCATCTTGACATTCGGGAAACATTTTTAAGAACAAGTTCAATCTCAGGTCTGGAGGAAAGACTCCTGGGCTGGGAGTCATTCCAGATAGTTTTGAGTCTCAGCTTAGTGGTTTGGCCACCTTGGCCACATTTCTTAACTCTCGGAGCCTCATGAACTCACCCTCAGGGTTATGATAAGGACCAAGGACGTTTGAATTTGAAAATATTTGGAAATTTAATGGCAGGGCCTCAATGTAAGTTATTGGAAGATTTCTTCATTATGATAGTCACTATTGTTATGATCTACTCATCTCCTGGCCTGCCTCCCTCACCCCTAAGGTGTGGAAAATAGGAGCGATTATATGGCCTCCACGTTGAGGTGCCCTGAGGTGGTTTAAAAACTCATAATAGCACAGAAGCCCACTTCCTTAGACCCCATCATCACTGAGGTAAAATGGAAGTGAAATTGCTCCTCTCTCCTCTTCCCAGACTTAATTTTACCTTTTGTGAACTTTTTTCCCTTTCAAGGTTACCTTTTATGTTCATTTAAATTTGCGAGGAAGGTTGGGTACACAGATGAATTTGTACCCAATTCTATAGCATCCTAAATACAACCTGAGTTGTCCTTCTCTGAGGTCTTTGCATTTTAATAGGAAATCTAGGATCCAATGAAGTGCATATATAATGGCTGAATGTCTGATGATAGTAATAACTTTAGAACTCAAATAGAAGAGAACAGAGGCAAGTTGTACTCAAATCATACCACACTATGATTCACTGTTTCCATTCGGTAAAACTAACCCTATTTGGGAGTATAAAAAAAAAGTAAGAAAAAAATGAAAAGCCAACACAGGTAGGCTGGGGGTGGGATTAGTTAAAAAGGCACATAAGACTCTGAGTTAGTTAATAAAAATGTGGGAAAACAGTAGTAGCTCTGACTTGTGCTGTGGCCTAGGTGTTAGTCCTCGTGGATCACCTCATAGAGCAGAAGGCAGGGTTGGAAGCCCGCTGCTGGGTATGGTGGGATACTAGGGCCCACATAAGAGACATCAGCAAATGACTATTGAATGGCAAAGCTAATTTCCATTTCAGATTTTCGGCAGTCACTGTAAGTGTTTTGCCTTTGGGGAGTGAGACAAGACAAGCAGGATCTGTGGTTGAATTTGAGCTTAATTTGCTGTGGCTCATTATTTTGCTCTTGGCAGAATGATTAATCTTTGTTTCCAACCCACCCACACCTTTTAATTCAAGTTCAACAATCTCATTCTGGGGCTCATTTCTACTCTTCATTTTAATCTGTGTCTGGGCCAAATCACTGTCCCCTTCTCTCCCTCTTCCCTTCTCTTTTTCTTTCTCTTTCCCAGGAAAAGTCACCATGATATGGAAATAGTATGGACCCAGCCACTTACCAACGTGGGGGATATTAAGAGGCAAGGGTTGGGTTCCCAAAGTGGCTATAAGGTCATCCACCCCCAAAAGGAATGTATATATTAAATAGGATAAGCACACTTGACACGTGGTAGAATTCTTCTGTCATTGTCATCGTGTGCTAGGATCTGGGGCTACAGGGTGAGTAAAATCCTGTTTCTCCTTTGAGGACTAGGTCAGCAGTGCTGGGAGTGGGGCTCTTGAGGGGTCAGAGCGGGCTTTAAAACAAACAAAACAGCCCCCATTTGAATCTAAAACTATGTGCTACTTTTTACTTTGTTGTCACATTGTGTGCAACTTGGAATAATTTCTAGTCGCTAATGTAGTGATAGAAAAGTCAAGAAAAAAACAGCCTGTAAAAGTTTTATGAGGCCAACTCTAAAAATAACCCAAGCAACTTGACTGCTTGCTATGTTTATAGTGCATTTTCCTCACAGCTCTATACGTGGACTATCTTTCTCTACAGGTGGATTATCATCTCCGAGGAATGCTTCTAGGGAATGGAAGCTAGTTTCTTTAGAAGAAGCAGGTGGGTGGTTTGAGGAACCGTCTAACACAGCAGGTGAAACAACTTCAACAGGTGCCCCGCTGGCCAAAGCAAGCGGTTAAAACTGACTCTACTGACACCTGGTGGAGAGTAGGGTAGCTTTCCTGTGCCAAAGAAAGTGTGTGTGTGTGTGTGTGTGTGTGTGTGTGTGTGTGTGTGTGTGTGTGTGTGTGTGTGTGTTGAAGGGACTGGAAATGCATTCATCATGTCAGGGGAGTTAAATAACTCGGGAGGAATGAGGGTGCTATGCAGAACCACCAGATGCCTGAATATATAATTGTGGTTAGGTGACTCACTGAGACACATGCATGAAAAACAACAAATGAGAATGTGAAAATAAAACATCAGGAATAAAGCAAATAATGCACTGTTCATTTCTTAAAGGTGTTTGATGGTGAATAAGACAACAGCAACAAACAAACACCCACACCCGCCCCCAGCCTCGGACAGCTTCATAAGAAAAGACGCTACTTCTTGACCACTTGACAGAGCTGTCTACATCCCAGAGAGATGATATAGCTCAGGCGGAACTAGTGCTTTGCTGCGTCTGGATTCTGCAGTCAACTCCTTGCAAAGTTTTAACCCTGGGATAAAAAGAACAATCTTCCTAAGGAGGTGTTATGAAGACGGCTTTGCCCCTAAAATTCCTTCAGGATGAAAAAAATTCTCCTGATAAATATAGTTATAATTGTTTACTACTTCTTAAATGCCAAGTGGTGGAAGGGGGAGGGGGATTACACTACCAAGTTCCTACAGAAATATACTTCATAACCTTTACACAGACCCCATTTTCCTGTCATTGGTTTCTTGTCCGATGCTGCTTGATGATGGTCCCTGTGGTTAACTTCATTGGCAGGTTTCTAAGGTTTCCTGTGAGGTGTCACGCACATACTATATATAGCACATAACACTGCCTAGATCTTGTTTTTCAAAAATCTGTTTTAAAGGCGATTTTAAGGAATGCACTAGAGCAATTATTAGCTCAATTTTAAAGAATTGATCCATTATATTTAAGTTATGAAGAAAGGGCTAATGACAATTTAAGTTGTTATTTTTTTTAAAATCACAGGAAACACAGTTCAGGGTTCAGCCAGGGAGCTGCGAAGGGTAGAACTAGGTAGGAAGGTAAGAAAGAAAAGCCCCTAAAAGATTCATGTAGTTAACAATTTTCTTATAGTTTTCTCCCCTGACATTTAAGTTAAATTTAGAATGCATATTTCTTTAAATGTGCTGGCTCGCATGCATGATTCTGACCAGAAAGTGTACAGTAAAAATATATTTCATCCTGAGGTCAGTGGTTTTAGAAGATCGAGTTCCCAACTTTCTCAGTATCACAGTAATTTTCAGTAAATACCCTTAGTATTTTAGTAGCTTTTTTTCACAGTGACCCCAGGTCAAAAGAAATACTTAAATGTCCTATTTATTAAGTAAATAGGTCCGAACAGCCTAATAGTAGTATTTGTGTGATGTCAGTCATTGCTGAGTTTCCCTCAAAAAATTAAAGACATTCCATTGTGCTCTTAAGGGTTTGCTGTGGCACCCCCAGGGTGCCTTGGTACAGAGTTTGGGAACCATGACTGTAATAGTTTTGGAAAGCAGTGGAAAGTTCAAGGGTGTGGTTTACATGATCTCATTTCACCTCTCACTCTTTATGAGACCGTGGCCACATAATTTGACTTTTTAGCTTCATACAGCTAAGTGAGTCAGCCTGGCTTACTACTGTGGAGTAGAGACTAAGAGAACAAGACACAGAAAAGCCTCTGCAGGATATAAGCCAGTCTTTTGAATAAGTAAGACTCGATTGTCATTCAGCTTCCTGTGCCCCTATCATATGGGGAGGTTGTGATGAAGCCTCTAAGCAGTGAAAGAACACAAACCTTGCGTTGTCTAAGGAGGGGATGCAATAAGTCAGGTTATTACTGGGAATTACAAGGATGCCAAAGGTAGCCGAGAAGTTGGCCTGATACTAATTTCTTAGGTGACAATCTGACAAATGAGCATGAGACGTTAAACATGCAGGAATACTTGTAGGAATAAATCTAGCAATGGCAGGTTTTCCATCCTGTTCTGCTTCCTACTTACATGCATCAATGAAGCTACCTATCAACTGAACTAGTACTGGGTCTTCAGAAAAGTCATGACGTATTTTGTCTATGTTTTTCAAAGGTCATTTATTTATATAAAGAACAAAGATCAATCAATGATATATTGCCCATTTTGTTCGATAACCTATTGCCATCTTTCAGTGAGCTTCATAATACCTCGCTTATAGAAGGACCTGTCTTTATTTGCAAAAAACTGAACAAGGTGCTGATTTACAGCCTCATCTGAATGGAACGTTATACCACGCAAGGAGTTTTGAAGAGAGTGAAACACGTGGAAGTCTGACGGCGCAAGGTCAGGCGAGTATGGTGGGAGTGGCAACACATCCCATCCAAGTTCCAATAATTTTTGATGGGTGATCAAACTTGTGTGTGGTCTCACGTTGTCGCGATGGAACACAACTCCTTTACAATTAACAAGCTCTGGGCATTTCTGGATGATGGATTCATTCAAATTGTCCAATTGCCAACAGTACGCATTCGACTTGATTGTTTGGTTCCTTGGTAGGAGCTTGAAAAACATGACACCTTTAAAATCCCACCGCACTGAGAGCATAACCTTCCTCCAATGAATGTCTGCTTTCGATGTCGTTTGAGGCAAACCAGCACATTGGGACCAAGATCGTTTGCACACTACATTGTTGTAAACAATCCACTTCTCATCACCAGTTATCAGTCTCTTCAAAAAAGGATCGTTTTCCTCACATTTAATGAGCATATTGCAGATGTTTATATGTGCCATCAAATGAACTTGAGTTCATGCGGAACCCAAATATCGAGCTTGCTTACATATTCCAGCTTCTTCAGGTGGTCATGAACGCTTGAATGATGGATGTTCAATGTTTCTGCAATCTCTCATGTTGTGTAACGTGGGTTTGATTCTATCAATGCCTTTATTTTGTCGTCATCAACCTCAGTGGGCCTCCCTGACCAAGGAGCATCGTGGAGATCAAAATCACCAGCACGGAATTTCGTGAACCATCGTTGGTACTGATGTTCTTGTAGAGCATTGTCACTGTAACTTTATGCAACTTTTCACAAGCTTGACACGCGTTCTTCCCTTTGTGGAAGTAAAAAAGTAAAATATGGCAAAAATGCACAGTTTGGTCTTCCATCTTCAACTTGTAAAATCTCCAAAACTCAACCAAATCACTCAAATATTTTTTTTTTAGAATGAAGCTAGAACTGTCAGCTGTCAAATGACATAGCAATAACATAGATGTGAATGACCCTAGCACTTCCAAAAATGAACTCGTGCCATCTGTCGCAAACATGCGTCATGACTTTTCCGAAGACCCAACAGTTCTTAAACTTTGACAAACACCCGGAGGGGTTGTTAAAACAGGATGCTGGGCTCCACCCCCAGAGTTTCTGATTTAGCCAGTCTAGCGTGGGGGAGGGTGGGTCTGAGAGTTTGTATTTCTAACAAGTTCCTGGGTGATCTGATTTTCAGGAATCACATGCAGGTAGCCACCAGCCTAAACCATTTGGGACATGTTAGAGGAGCTGCGGCCCCATCTTGGTAGTTACAGTTGATGCGAGGCAGGCATCCCTGTTTCTCCATTCCGGACCAGCATAGTCAGCCTTGTCTAGCATGTTACCAGTGAAAAGGCACTTCCCAACACACCCAGGTATGTGGGTGAAGAGTTTCCTTCAGTTAAGGGGACACCCTTGACTTGGAGACACTCAAGTCCTACAGTAATAAAGTGATGAGACCCGACATGTTCAGGAGTTTTGCATTTTCAAAGAGGTTGGCTTTGCACTTTGCTAACTTATAAGTTGGGGTGCAGTCACAGATTTTGTAGAAAAAGTGGTTCTTAATCTCAAGGAGGGGGCTCACGGTAGAATCAGCAGAGGAGATTTGCCCAGCATCTCCAGGACTGGGCCCAGGCCTGTGTACCCGGAAGAGGCTTGTCGGCTGATTGTTGAGAACTGTTCATGAGAGAAGTGCTTTAGTCTGAGCATGAGTGTGGGGATAGGTCGCTCTACTGTTTCCCTTTTACCCCTGAAGCCATTCGCCTGCTGCAATTGGGCTACCTGCGTGCTTACTGGTTTGGATTCACTGGACACACCCCTGATGTATTATGCCCTTACTTCCACAGGCTTGCAGAGAACTTGCTTCCCTGCCTCTTGCCACCCTCCCTTGGGTAGTGGCAAAATCATGGCCAGTGTGGTTTAATTCAAAGCACACTGCTAATTAAAAGCCATTAGCTATGCACTGGAGAACACATTTAAAAGGTGGCACTTATTATAGTACCAATAGGTCAGTTGCACCTGATCAGTGGACTGCTGTCCTCAACCCAAGCTCACTTTCCTCTTCTGTCCCATGTCCTTATTTTCTTAGGGTAGGGTTCTCGAAGTGTGGTCCCCAGATCAGTAGCATCAACACCACCTGGGAACTCTTTAGGAATGCAGATGTCCATGCTCACTCCAGACCCTGCGTCAGGAGCTCTGCGGGTGGGGCGCAGTAGTTTGTGTTAACATGCCTTCCAGGTCATGACTGCAAAGCATGCTGGGGTTTGGGAACTACTGCTTTATCGTGTCTCTGTGCCTCCCCCCTCATTGTCACAGATTAGAAGGTCTTCCAAAGGTAGGGACCTCTGGCCTTCCTCTCCCACCAGCTGGCTAAGCGATCAGCACACAGCAGGTACTCAAGAAACACTTGTTCGTTACTGCAGCTAGGGCAGCACTACTTCCCAGTCATGGGAATGAATCAACAATCCCTCCGCTCCGCGTGCCACTTCTGAGAGCCTGCGTCTAAACCAGCTCCCTTCTTATGGGTTGTGTTTTCCATATTTACAAATCAGCTTTCCCTAAATCCTTTCCAAGTTTTTTACATTCTTTTGAGCCCAGGAAGCCAAAACCAAGATGTGATGTTTTAGCCAATGTCTATTTCCTGCTGGGGGGAAGGGCTTTTCTGCATGATTCTTAAATTCCATACTCCCAGCATCGTGATTATTTTCCGAACAATAGAATGAGATTGCTGATTCATGTTCGGCTCACGGCTCCAAGCATCTTTTTTTCTGCTGTGCTTGTGCCCATGGAACACAATAATGTTCTATTCATCGCTCTGAATTAGAAATGCCAACAGCTCAGATATGTAACCGAAGGGTCCCCCCTCCTTTGGCTTATTTAAAGCCTTCCCACAAATAACACATTTTGAAATATTATACGGCGTTCACTTTGAGCCATTTCACTGGGGCAAGGATGGTTAGACCTTATCTTTTTTTTATTGGCAGCTCCTTGCACCATGCTTGGCACACTGTAACTACAATTCTCAAAAAATGCTTGTTTCAGTGAATCACATACCCACTTCCTGAGGCACAAGCTTTATCCTTCTATTCTGCCCTGACATATTATAATACAACCAGCTCTCCGTCAGGTACAGGGAGAAAACCTGCTCTCATATTCAGAGGCTCATGTTTGGATCCAGCCAGAGAATGGGATTTGGCTCATTAAGGTCTGGTGGTCCAAGGGCGCTCTATCCATCCCCATCGCAGTTGGCACACTATCTGCAGTGTCAATTCTGCTCTTGCTGTAGCAGTGAGATCTCCACTCGTCTTGAAACAGCCTTGCCAATAAACTTTGCCAATAAGCAGTCAGGGCCAGCTGTGGGGTTTTGTGTCCCAGTTGCACAGTCCAACTGGTGGGACTGCTGAGTGCTCCTA